AATGCCTAGCAAAGCACTCATTCACCTTCCAGAAACTGCGGTAATCTCTACTAAATGAACAATTCGGTTTCAGCCTCCTCGTCTTGCTATCAACGGCACCATGAGTGGCATTTTCCGATCCAATTACGTATGCTTAGCACCTGTTTAGGAGATTTACACAACCCTTGCAATAAATTAAAACAAATTGCCAGTTTATGCACCAACGACGACAGGGCAGTCAGGCGTAGTGGTCATGTTATGTATCACTATCTCTATTAGTTCTTATGCTTACTGTGGATTACTGTTTTTGCATTAGGCCCCTCCAAACGTCTTCAAAGTGATCAACAACCCCTCCCCAACGCAGTCCACGAGGCATTCATTCGCCAAACAAGGCGGTGAGTCCACACAAGGGTAATGGACTACATGCGAAAGCAATGTATCAATGAGGGAGGGACAAGTGTGTACCAAATCCGGGATTTGAGGTACCAATTACAAGGTAACTACTATTTCCTTGGGAGGTTGACACCCATGAAGGCAATGCGCCTGGGAGAGGGAGCCGCACAGCAATGTGACACAATTATGCACTCCAGCGGCAAAATAAACCTATTGTGAAAACAGTTCGAGAACACAAAATTGTGCCGCTTTTTAGAAAACAGGGATGCTCGTTGGACGATGCTAAGAGATGAGTTGCCAAACGAGTGGGACATTAATCGTTGGAACATTTAACAGCCACAACGATCAAGAAGTCACGGACAAACCGAAGCCAGCAGATGTCAGGAGTCGCTAAACGTGGTCAGTCGGTGGTGCAAAGGAAAGGCGATGCCTTAAAAGGGCTTTGCGGCACGCGCACGACTATGCCCAACTTACATTGAAATCAAAAGGCCTTTCAATTGTTTGAGTTTTCCATAATACCCTTTTTCGAAACCTTTTCATTTCATGTCTAAAAGGGTGAATTCTCTTCTGAGATGACTGCAATACCGAAATTTCGGTTGGAGGCCTGGGAGAAAGCTAAGCGGTGCATGTACGGATTCTTTGAACCTCCAAAATGTAGGACTGCTTTTGTTTTTCAATCAGCAGAGGAAATACCATAAGCCGAGATTTAGATGACGCATTACATTGGCTATGGTAAAAAGCACATAACTGCCATTTCGGTTGTTTAAAATACTTACGCCAATTGATAGATGAATTTGACTTTGATGTGTAAATCCAAATTAAGACAGAGTAATTTCGTTTCCACAGAGCTATGGAAGGTAATTTAATGGGAATGAAACAAACACTGCTAGGTAAGTCTAAGTGCGGTGTCTCGCTAAGCTATTCTCCCAGCAGTTAGCCACTGCAAGTAGAACTCCTAGCGCGAACACTCCTGGTGACCGGAAATGCTTGATGAAAATTACCCCAATCTAATGCAAATTCATGCATGTAAATGGACTGACAACTTGAGTAGGAATTGAAAACGCAACCGATCCATCAAGTCATAGGGGTGTCAACGGGGCACAAAGTGCATGAAGCGAGGCAATTAGCGGCACAAAAAAGGAAGAAACTGACACTTCGTCTCATCTGCAACGTGGTAATAAGTAGGTAGCCAAATGTGTTCAGTTCTAACTTTAGTCAATTGTCCTAACATTCCGGTAGGAACTAAAAACACCTACATAAAACTGATCATCCCTTGGCTAAAAGTGCCTTTACTAAGCTCGAAACCAAAGTTAATTTGAGGTGAAGTCAAACTCCAAAAGGAAAGATTGCCTCATTCATACTCGATTCTCCTATTAATGGAATTGAAGGAAATCCTACTAGGCAACCAGCCGAATGACTCAAGACCAAAGACCAAAAAATGCAACTTCCAAATCAGTTGAATGTACCGCTTACCAAATGTCCTAAATTTATTTGACTAAATAATGCAAAAAAAGGGCTGTAAATATCAAAAGAAAGGAAATAGGTCTAACAAAACGCACGTTATCACGATTTCTCAATTTCCTCACTCAGGACCACATTTCAGGTCGAGTGAGCACTGGTAAACCGAGACATTTGCCAAAACTTCAAGCTAGTTTGTTTGTGTACTTAATTTGCAAAAGTAGTTGGTTTTCACACGAACTGTCAAACACATGCATCAGATTCAACGGAAACGGAGGCTCACGCTTTGCAATTTCATCTGAACCACTAACCACGCACACTACTTTAAGCCCATCCTCTCTTGAACCATCTCTAAATTCCCTGATTTTCTAAGTTATTATTACCCAAATTTCTGCTCCGATTGGTCCTCAACCTTCACAAATGGGTCGTGATGAGCTCGTGCATGCATAGCCGCCACAGTTACCCAACCACTTCACATTAAGGACATAGTACACCCAAGTGTACACTCACCTGTTCATCGTTCGCCTTTGAAGCAACAGCAGAGGTGGGATACTTGTTGGCGATTTGTTGAATGAAGTCCTTAGTGGCAGAGAGAGAGGTCTTGGTGGCAGGCACCGCCACCGCCACCGCCTCCTCCTTCTCAAGAGACTTCTCAAAGTAGCGACCACTGGTACCGCTCGGTTGTGTTCGCCTCTCCGCCTCCTCACCCCCGCGACGGTGACCCCGACTTCGACCCATCTCCGCATCATCTCGGTGCGATCGGCGCGTAGGCACGTACTCCGTCGGCGCATCCTCAAATATGGCTGCAACAGGAAATGAAGGAATGGCTTCGAAAGATAAGCCTTGACTCAAAATGGTTTGATGACTAGAGCAGCTGCTGTATCTATGTTAGACTGACAAGCTAGGATGGAACCTATGCGAACATAGCACACACTCTTTAGGTAGATGGAATAAACACTCACTAAATGCTCTGGTTTGATGGTATAAGCAAAACCAAAACTTTAATTCTGAAACTCAACCATACTGAAGGAGAGAAATGGGATGATTTGAAAACGAAATGCGTGAAAAGCGGACTCGTTCATCAAGTTGAACAACCCGATTGATACGTCTTCATCTCTAAACACAACGTGGTAACAATGAAAACTACAGAATTTTACTATGCTGAACGAGGAGAAGGTCAGAAGGCTGCCTCATCGGTTATTTCTCACCATTAAGTACAGTTAAAAAGCACATCTTCGAGAATATAAGAGATTAGGCGAGCGATCCAAGCAAACAGACGCCGCTGTTAGGTGCATCATTGACGGAAGTAGTTCTAAAGCAAAGTCGTAATCTCGCTTTATGAATTAATTTGACTGATTACGTGTCAATTCTGAGAAGGGGAATGAGATGAAACATTCATCTTATCACTCTTGATAAAGGTTATTTAACTAGCACCCATGTTTTAACAACTGGCTCACCTTTTCATCATAACCCAAGATAAAAGAACCAACTCGTGGAAGTAAGGAGAGATGGGGAAGAGCTGATACTCACGTTGAGACTTCTTTGTGCTTTCCTGTTGCATAGGCTGGATGTCATATTCAGAAACACCACCGATCTTCTGCTTTGCCGACTTGGCTTTCTTTGCTTGTCTCCGACCGGCGCGAGTGTAAGCAAAGATCTGGGCCAATTTGTTTATGACAATGTCATTAGTAGTCAAATCGGAATTTCCTGCCGCAGCCTGGTCCAACAGAGGACAGTCGGCCTTGCTCCGAATCACGGTTGCTGGCACCTCAAATTCCGCCATCTCGTCCTCCAATTCCACTCGATAAGCCATTCGACCAGGCTGAAAGAACTCATTTCTCTCCACCTTACCCTGATTGGTTTTAAACAGGGTCTCAATTATCCCCTCGGCTAAACGCGTCTTAAAGTGCAATCCCGCCTCGACTACGTCCCGCGTACCCTCTCCAATCGGTCTCTCAAGTTCTGCGTCCAACTGCTGCTCCGCTTCCATCTCCTTGTTCTGAATCTCTCGTCGGACCTTCTCCAACAGAACGTAGTCTAAACCTTTCACCAAGTGAGTATGCTCCATGTCACCGCCAAAATACTTCGACTCCTCAATAGCCCTTCTACGTTCTGCAGCGTGCGAAGCGCTGGAGGTAGGAGCAACGGCGCGATAGTCGGCCGTTCGTACGAGGCGATCGTGCTCGTCCTCACGATCCTCCGCACCCTCACCACCATTCTCTGTTGCATTAGGGTCGAGGCTTTCCATAGTGCTGGAGATCTTGCCTTCCCGGCGCTCACGCGCTCTGTCACGGTACTTAGGCGCTGGCCCAGTGACCCCACCTTCTCCAACCTCACCACCGCCGCTGCCAACGGGACCACCACCACCACCGTCCTCTCCACCCCGCCTGTGCCTCCTATCGTGGCGATGGTGGGTACGTGGCTTCTGGTGGGCCTTGTGGGAGTGCGTTTTTGCACGATCGGAGCGTCCGCGAGGAACGCTGACACTTCCGGCATCTTTTTGTGATTTGCGAGGCCCCGCAGTGAGGAGAAGTTTGCGGAAGTCGCTGTTTGAGAGCTGAGTTTGCTTAGTTAACGGCTCGCCTGGTGGTGGAGGTTGGGGATTCGATATTGCTTCCAGGTTATCCATTCCTGAATCAAATTGTTCAAGCACAAAAAGACAACCAATCAATCAAATATTAACCCCAACAAAACAAAAAATCCTTTCCAGCGGCATAAAGGAGTTTGAACAAAATCTTCGACAACCCGATAAACAGATCAGATTGTGAGAAAACTAGCAGCATATTCAAAAATTATCGCAAAGACAAGTCGGAGAAAGTGGCCAGTGGCCCCATTTTAACATTGTAAACAACTTCAGCCGAAACAGCACACGTTGCAAATGCAAGACACCAGTTACAACAAAACTAACTAAAGAACGAATTCTGACTTGGAAAACAATAATACTACAGTTCAAAGTAGAAATGATCTCTCCCTCAACTAACTTAATGCTAAAATGAGCTAGAATTAACCCGTATTACAGACAAGTAAAATCAGCTATCAAAATGCATGATGTCAAATATCGCATGGTTATGATGACAGCAGTTGAATTAGCAAGATAATCGAATTTTGGATTGATTAAAAGGTGAACACTTGGGCTAAAATAAAAGGAGAGCACTCACAGATCAGACAAGTCAGAAGCAACTGAGATCTTTGTGTAATGCGGACGTTTTGTAAATTTAGAGAAACAACTAATCAAAGTGGCACCCAGAATATTAATATTAAAATCAGCATTTTTTTTGCATTATTTCTATTTTTGACTAAGCCTTTCCTTGGTGTTATGTGCAGAATAAGCTTTGTAAAAATCACAACATTAGTAAGGTCTACCAACTCGCGTTACCACAACTATAAAATAGAAATAACGCCCTTAGACTTATACTCATGTTGAGTGCTACATTATTACTGAAATACCTCTGTTTTGTTTCCTTCTTTGCAATGACCAAATGCCCCACAGACTACCGAACATTTCCTAATCTGTTCTTGCAACACTTTTCGTTGAATTATGCGATTTATCATTGACTAAGTGTTTAGAAGTAGAAGCGCTAGGGTGGTCATAGACGCAGCCGAAGGACTATGCTATCAGGCAATAATGCAGTCTAAATTTTTAGCATAACATGTTTTGAGACTACTATAAGGCATCCGAAACCAAAAAAAGCGTTGCCCTGGAAACCTCTAGAAGAACTTTTTCGTTTTAATGTGACCACACTTATTACCGATTTTACTTAGCATGTGAATCTTCTAAGTGTTTAGTAAAATTCGGCTCTTTGAGGTCTACCCAAAGAAAACAAGGGCATAGAACCAGGGCAGAGTAGGCTTTGTTAACGTAGGGAAGAGTTTGGTGGATGGGAGTATAGTGGTGTAACTACAAGCAAGGGTTAAACAAACAATCGAAGTATAACAATATTGATGCGGATAGATCATAGAGCTGCACGCTGTACCACTACAAATAGAGCGTCGCCATCTTAAGTTAGATTAGTGAATCTGCATTTGAGTTTCTTTTGTGAACCTGTTTGTGGAAGAAAACGCCCATTTAGTCCTGGTCTTACATTCAACTTCTAACATTATACGAATGTGCCCTTTTCCGCAATTGTAGTAGTGCCTGAAATATTTTAACAGAATCATCACCTGAAATGCCACCTAAACTGTAACGCATCAGTTATCTTGAAAAAGTGAACATTTATGCTAAATAGAAGTTGTTAGGAGATTATCTGTCACTTGCCTTTTCAAAATCACGATGGTTTTAGCTCTTCCAAAAGGATCTGACATGATGAAACACTTACCTTTGCATCTACAAAATGCGGCGATTTTATTAACCTCACTTGATGCAACCCATGAATAGGTGGCCTCTCGCTATCGATGACCTTAAAGCCACTAGTCATTTGCCCTCTTAATTCCCACTTACGATCCACTCGTCTGATTGACCTCTTGCTCCCGTAATTCATCACAATTCACAAGCGGTATTTTCCCTTTCCTATGCAACTTAGTCTTTAAGGAGTTAGCGAATTATTCCTTTTCAATATAAGCACAATAATAACGCCTACGATGTCAGGAAAACCTATCAACTGGATATTTAATCCCCTTTTATGGAAAAATGGAAATAAGGAACAGTCAAACCGGTTACTGCTATGAAGAAGATATTTTTTTCTCTCTAAGTAACCGAAGATGTTGCGACTCGATCATTAGTTTCTAACACTACATCCCTGAAATGTCACACCGAAGTTGTGACCCTCACCACCCCAAATATGGCTTCACTAGTGATTCTCCCTTTTGCAAAACTATTTTCCTGTTCTGTGTTAAATGTTTTGCCACAGTAAAATTAAAGAACATTTTTTTGGTTGGTGATACGGCTTTGGCATTCGAGGCGGAGGATTCGGGGGAGAGAAAATCAGCCGTCAACAGCCGTGAGGAAACAGACTGCAGCAACTGACGCCGTGTGGTCCCAGAACCGCTGAAATCAGGCGTCAAGCTGGGAAACCTCACAGAAGCAGCCTCTACGAAACTTTGGTGAAATGTGATGATAAAATTCCACGCAAAGTAAACAGGCTGACGTGGCCAGATATGTCATAGTTTGTTCATAATTTTCCTCCAGCCAAATGACTGTAACTACCTAAAATGGAACAATTAGCTGACAAAGTGCTTGCGACAACATAACGGCTGCCCATCATCTTTAGCATTCACATTTGACTGATGTTTGTCTTTTTGCTACACCCTAATGTGTTCTTAGCCGGACATACTGCAATAGTTTGATTGTTTGGTTAACTTCTTGTTTTGGTCTCGCGGGCACTTAAGGCTCGGCCATTGCGATTCCGTTGAATAGCATGGCCTCTGGGCCAGGTCAGTAGAGGTTCAGTCTTTTTGAAAGACTGAGTGCTGCAAACCCGGTGATAAAAGACATCCATCTCAATTACCGTTCTTGAATGCTAAATCTTAGCGTGACAGAAGAAGGGTGTATGCAGCAGATGGGCGAATCTGTAACGGTTCCTAACAGAAAGGCTGAAAATGACGTCTTCCTTCAGCAACCATTCCAGTCCCGCGCACTGCTGCGGGAATGCTATTAACATCTACAGTGTCACTAGCCATGGCCGTAAACCATCTTGAAAAGTTCGTTGCGAAGCTGCTCACTGTACCTGTACGAAGATGTCAAATGTGGGAACACGGGATAGCCCCTCCACCTCACTACTAGCTGGGTAGAACCCAGATACATATGGCTGGGCAGCACTGAAGTAAGAACAAAGTGGTAAGAAGGAATGGCCGCGAAACCATATCCCCACGAAACTATTTTAAATCCAGTTCCTTATTAATTGAATCTGGTTTCAAACCGGTATTCCCACGACTGGCGGTGGACATACAAGCCGGACAGCGCATTCCCCTTCCCCCAATACAGTTCCCAAACGGGACAAAACCCCAGATTTAGCGAAGTTGCCAAGAGCTTGGTTCGTTAGGGTTTTTCTTACGTCACATACTGCATTGCGATTGTCGACGCAGGAGGTTGGCCAAAGGGAGTGTCGGAGACGACGCTTAATAGAAGAGGAGGGCTATGTAATACTTTGATTGTACTGTGGCTTGGCGGATTGGCCTCTGAGCCATGTCAGCTGCTCCCAGCCCCGCTGAAAGTCTCGGGGCGCTACAAACACCTTTTCTCCAGTCTCGTGATCCATCTTGTATTCAGCCTATCGTAGCCTCATTTCAGCGAGTTTTCACTCGACTTCCAAACGGTTTGGCGCTACTTCCGGAATACACGACCAACCTCCCACAGTGAAACTCGAGGTTTGTTATTTTATGCTGGCAACGTGTTGTTTTTGGATATTTCCAAAAATACCTTTAAATATTTGAAAGTAAATCAACTTATTTGCCCAGAAAAAAATACGCATTTCTGTATTGTTGAGGTAGACCGTAGACCTATGAAACTTCTCTGAAGACGACGCACAGTAGGGCCAAGGCGGGGACTACTGGTATGGTTTGGGGGCCATGTCGCCCAAAGGCGGAGCCTTAAGCACAGGCGAAACCGAAGCGAAGAGTTTAATAAACAAATTATTGCAAGCCGACTGCTAAACATGTCGACAACTTAATAGAATAGGCACCAAGAGGTTAAATTTTGGATCTCATTGCTGATAGTAAAGCAAACAGTTGTCTTTTGTGACTACGGGGTGGGGCATTCAGCACCACCTGACTGCATCCCTGTGTTTAAGTCAGCGGTTAAAATGATTTCGTCTTTTTTGTAATGTTTGCCTCCGATTTTAGACACCTGGGTAGAGAAGACTGGTTTGAGTAGGGCGAATCAGTGCTTTTTTCCTCTTCGGAAATTGATGGTACCTTTATAATCGCGGGGTTCGTCCTATCCACCAGCTTGCCGTCCAAAACGATGCAATCAAACAAACATGTAATTCATGTGAAAAGAATCTCTTCTCAGCCCTGCTACCCACCTTGAGAACTGCAATTAAACATTCTTTCTGAAGCAATTCGTATGCAAACTACCCTCCTAGTAGAGGCATTTTACACCGTTTCCAAGCATTCGCACTCCCATTTCGATGTGACTAGCGCATGAGACGGAATTTTATGGGCAATTAGCTTTGTACAATACGACGTAGCGAAAAAAACGCCTAGCTCTGCTAAGTACTGCGGTCTTGCGTTAAAGATGCCACTTCCTCCGATGATTTACGGCGTGTCTGCACACAAAGCAGCTGGAGTGGCAGGAATGACTCCTGAGGCATTCGTCTTTTGGCAGTTTGAGATACACCAAAAATCAGTATTTCAGCTGCCTTTAAAAAGTTGCTTTTTTAACCTACAGTTATTGTACCTCCGCCGGGTGGCCTGGCCTTTGGGCAATGTCGGCAGCCCCTTGTACGACAACGATACATATTCTGTCAGGGTAACAAATCTTCTTTCATCTTCAGGATAGCCTTGACGCACTACATCGGTGACAGCGGAAAGTGAACCCTATTTCTGAAAAATATCCACCTTAATTTCCATTACTAAATGCAAAACTTTGGCGTGGAAGCAAGAAGGGCATATGCTGCTGATGGGGGGAATATGTGATGATCCCCCATAGAAGGGCTGAAAATTACGGCAACTACCCCAGTCCCGCGATCTGCT